AACAAAACCTCAGGGATTGCACTGATATCCAGCCTATTTTACAATTCTACAATGAAAGGGGAAGTATCAAGATCCTGAGGACTTTTGGTTCCTTAAAACTGCATCTGTGTTTGTACATGCAAAATTTCTGGGAAATGAGCTGGTAGGAAAAGCTGGTTGTGTCTTTGATGCAGAACATTTTTCAAAGGTCTAGTGCAAGGTGAGGCAGAGCATGAAGGAAAACTTATGATGGGAATCAAATAACTGTGGAAATCATTCCCCATCCTGCTAACTTCATCGAAGTGCACCAGGCAAAATTCAACTTTAGAATTGTTAACATTGCAGCAGCTCCATCCAAAAAGGGAAGGAGAAAAGAGTAATGAGCCCAGTCCTGGGTTCAGCCCTACAAAGGTCCTTTTAATTTAGCCAGTGCTCAAGCCTGTGTTTCCAATGGGAAAAACTTGGAGATGTGAAAGAAAGTGCATGCTCAAATGATGCTATTGCAAAGGGCAAAATCCTGTGTCAACAGCAGACAGAGAAAATTAGCAGGGGAAAGGAATGGGGCTGGAGCAGGTGTGGGGCATCAATTCTCCACAAAGAACCTCAGCTCTTGCTGTTGTGCTCTGGTCAGCCAGGGACAGGTGGTGATGGAGGGGGAGCTGGAAGGGAGCACAGGGTGAAACAAAGTGGGGGAGGAGAAGAGCAGCAGTGAATTCAGAACAGATGTCAGGAAATGCTTTTTCCTTCAGAAACTGCTCAGCATGTGGAATGGGTCCTGGCAGTGCTGCTGATGCAATGACGCTGGACCTGCTCCAGGAGCTGTCAAATGTGGGGATGTAAGAAAGAATAGAGTTAATAAGTGGTGGGTTTTTATGGCCTGTTGGAGATACTGCCCCATGCTCTCCTACCTCAAGCATATCCAAATGTGTTTTGAATTATCCTTTGATAGTTCACTCCAGCTCCAGAAAGAAAACAGGGAGGGCATGTGATCTGCTTTTGTAGCATGTCCAGCAGAAATTATGGATCTTTCCTTTGGATGCTTTTTTGGGTTGCATTGAGCTAATATGTTTTGTCATGTGGCTTTGCAAGCACTGGACTGCTGAGAGCTTTGCCTGTGTTCCTGTGGCCATATGCAGATGGGTTGTGTCATGCCATAGCTGTGTGGAAAGAAGTACCTTGAGGCCCTTTGGCTGCTCTTACAGAGTCCATGGATGGCATTCATAACAGAAAGTGGCTGATGGCCCTTGTGGTGGGACCAGTCGTGCTCAAGATAGTAAGTGAGTGAGACAGCTGGAAAGAAACCAACTTCAGTGTAGTTTCCATAGGATCAGAACTGATGTCTTCAGGGTGAAGAATGGGAGGGCAAGGTGTGTTCTCAAGACATCTCAATAGGAAGAGCCAGAAGCACTCAGTGAGACCTGGAGAAGTGGAAATGCAAGGTCTCTTTCCATCCACTATGCAGATGGGTTGTGTCATGCCATAGCTGTGTGGAAAGAAGTACCTTGAGGCCCTTTGGCTGCTCTTACAGAGTCCATGGATGGCATTCATAACAGAAAGTGGCTGATGGCCCTTGTGGTGGGACCAGTCGTGCTCAAGATAGTGAGTGAGACAGCTGGAAAGAAACCAACTTCAGCAGTGTAGTTTCCATAGGATCAGAACTGATGTCTTCAGGGTGAAGAATGGGAGGGCAAGGTGTGTTCTCAAGACATCTCAATAGGAAGAGCCAGAAGCACTCAGTGAGACCTGGAGAAGTGGAAATGCAATGCCTCTTTCCACCCCACCACTTCAAGCTGTTTGTGTTCTACTTGAAATCTTTCCTCTGTCAGGGTAAAGGTTTGTGGCACCCTTGTTGATATTAAGGATGGCTCTGCTTAATGGACGTGATAGAAACCATGATCAAGGGAAGAAGTACTTAGTGGTGGTAACAGAGACATCTGTCTTTTGGCATTGCTTTAGACCTAGTTGAAGGTTGCATTGAGTCCGTCATGCTGCCTGCGTTGCCCCTCCAAGGTTAGAGAGGGACTGCTACTAATCTGTGGGTGCCCTGGGGTCCATTTTGCTGAACCTCAGATGGGTGCATTTGAGCTCATCATCTGCTTCTTGTTTGTATGAGTGCAGAGAATCAGCTCTCTGGAGTGTGGTTCCCTTGCTTCCCTTTGGCTGTAACGGAGCATACGACACCTGACTCGAAGGGACCATCTTCTCCCTTGCAAGGACTCTGAAGCTGGGCAATTCAAATGCCACCTCTGAACCACCCATTCCTTTTCACGGTGTTTTTGCTCCCCAGGAAAGATGAGGCACCTGGATACCTTGAGTAAATTTGGCCCGTTACCTCTGTGTGGTTCATAAACTGATGAAGAACCTGTCCCTGCACTGTGCTCCCCAGCTCTGGTGCTTGGTGGTGCCACAGTCTTCAGCTGAGCCCCCAGAGTTCTGGAGGGACATGTGGCCTCTGCAGAGGGGGAGAAGGGACCTGCCCCAGGCCAAA